TTTCGCAGAACTATTTCAAATAATAAGTAGATTCGTTCTAGCGAAAAAAAATTTTTGGGGTTAGGTGCACTTTAAGGGCTGTATGAATGCTTTAATAAATGTAGAATAACCAAAGGGTTGCAAAGGGAGCTGGAAGTGCTAGTGTTACTCTTCCTCACATGCCAGGTTTCCTATATGCTGCCTCAAGTGTTATAATAGTACCTTTTGGGAAGCTGCTCTTCACTTTTTACCATGAGTCACTACATTGACTTTCATGAGAAAAATAAGTGGTTTGGAGTTGTGTGAAAAAAGTATCGATCTTTTTGTTTCATAAAAACTTGTTTCATTTATAAACGAAAAATGCAGTATGTATGAGACTAGTTTGTTTGTTTCTTTGTTTGGATCTTTCACACCGACCTCTGATTAAAACTACTGTCATGAAACAAATAAATGGATAAATGAGAGCCATGCACAATAATACTCACTGCCCCCTTTGAAGTGACAGCTTCTGTTGTCATGGTAACCTGTGATGAGCTCTGTACTCCTACAGCATTCTGGGTGGGTATGCCGTGCTGTGATTGTAACCTGGCACTTTTATGTAACTGTGGTACTGTTCGAGCACTCTCAATTGCTGCGCAAGAAATGGGGGCTTTGTGGTTTAAATGTGATCCGTGTTTATTTGCCTGACTCCCAATATCACAAGCAATGGGTGGGGTTGCATTTTGCAAGGCTAAGCTGTTATTTACTGTTCTTGCAGTAGAAACAGGCAGTGAAATGTTACTATGAGATGAGATGTCCAAATTGGGCATTGTAACACTAGAGCTTGGAACAGCTGTAACAATACTGCTGACCTGAGAAGAGCTTTGTGAACTTTGGCCCAGCCAAGATGCTGTTGTTGATGGCAAGGAAACTTCTGTGTTCAAAGGGTGACCTTGGGCAGATATTGCGACTGACAAGCTGGAAATTAAACCCATTTCTGGTGTAGCTGATGTTGTGTAAGTTGTTGATGGGAGTTTTGCTGTAACTTGCTGTAGCTTGGCTGCCTGTGTCACTGTAAATGTTGTTGTCGCGGAGAGTACTTGTGGTAACACGTAAATTTGTCTTCCACCGACTTGATAGAGCTGTGCTGCAGTTAAGACAACATTTTGTACTCTTGGTTGAGATATGACCAATGGGGTTGTCAAACTTGCAGTTGAGACATTGTGAAACACAGTCACTGGAGTGCTACTTGTAGTCACCTGTGTGACAGCTGAAGTGACTAAAGGCTGTGAGGGGATAGCACTGCAACTATTCTCTGTATGACTGGAAATAACATTAATGAGGGGAATGGAAGTATGTTTGCTGACAGATAGTTCATTGCCTTGTTTAGTTGTAATGTTAGGTATGGTGTTTTCACATGTTGCGACAGCCAACGGATTTGTGTTTGATATACACATATTGAGTAAGGATTGCTGCTGAGTGTTCCTATCCATGACTTTTTGCTGCACATTGACCCTTCTCTTAGATTTACAGTGCACTTCCACCGCTGGTATTATATGTTTGGTAACTGACCTTGCTTTCTGTTTCAATGCCTGAATCTTGTCAAGTAGCTTTTTATGACACTGAAAGAGTGTCAGTAGCTGCTTTTGTTGTGTTGCAAGTTCAAACAGTTTGTGTTTTGTTTGGGATGTCCACTGAGAAGAAGATCCATCTTGACTTCCCGGTTCTCCATTACTAGAATTAGCTATTTCTTGCCTTTGCTGTTTTTGGTCACGGGTGAAGTCAGCAAGCTGAGTCTTGACTGTAGTCATGAGAAGTTTGACTTCTGCAAAGATTGGGTTTTCTTTTGGTGTCATACCTGCAATGCAAGAAATGTCAATCCTATCCCTTTTTTTTATTTTGCCCATTTTAACTTTCCATATTACCTAAAACTATACATATAGGTCTTTGAAGTCCCTCCAAAAAATAATTTGCTTAAGTCTAAGTTCAGAAGAACTGAGGAGAATTTTGGGACCCGTCCCTCTCCGCCATTCTCTAGTTCTTTTGGGGAGGAAAAATAACCAGGGAGACTAGGTACTCCAAATCGCAATTCAGTTAGAGCACAACTTCGGAAATAGCAGAAACAAAGGTCATTTACGTTTCAAATGCCACTAAACTTATAGACTAAATTTCCATAGTTGTGCAAAAATTTATTTTTACAAAATGACAATGATCTTGGAAGCTCTGACCTCTCTTGACGCTTGATTCGAGTAACACCAGCATTTGCTCAATTTTCTCTTCCTGTTCTCTAATTAAGTTCAATTTTTCTGCCGCCGTCATTTCCTTGCTGGCTGGTCTGGCAGCTTGTGAGCTCAGCTGTTCCTGATAGACACTCGATCTTGAAGATCCTTCGTCCAGAATTGGCGTTTCTTTGCACGTTAGTCGTTTGATTTTAGCACTCGGAGGGAGATATTCTGGGGAGCCGTGAACGTCGCCCGTGGTTTTATTCTCACATTCAGCTGGAGCCTTTTTACCTAAGTCGTCTGATCTGTTATTAAAGCAAGAAAGGAAAGCATCTTTAGTGATATCCGGCAAAGTTCAGTCCTTCACGACACAAAAGTAGCTTACCGAGGTATTGGAGCGATGATCGAAGGCGACATTTGGGACTGACTTAACATTGTAGGATCATCAACATCGTCACATACTGTTTCATCACTATCATCCATTGCTATAAGCAAAAGTCCTTCTATTTTCTTGGCTTTCTAGCCTTCGTTGTGTAAGTCTCTCAAAACTTACAGAGTTCCTAAAAGCAAACACAACGCGAGCCTGGTGCCCAGGGTCTCTGCGTAAAAATTTAAGATGGCGGTTGTCAATATGCACTCAAAACCTGCAACCATTGTTTGAATCTCAGTCCTATATTCGAACGCTCGCCGTTGTTGTTACACTGTCAGCTGAAAAATGCCGTGATCTGTCAACTTACATGGAGGATTAGCAGTGTTCACTGATTTCGTATCAAAAGTCGGCTATCGAGTGACTCTAATACAAGCTTATAGTTTATGTAAAAAATAACTCCGAAACGTTAATGAATGAACGAATGCTCTTGCCTCGAATCTAACCAGATTACGAAAAAGTAAAAGAAGACAAATTGAGAAAGAGAGGAAAAAAAATATATGCCGAGACCCGGGATTTTTCAGAACTCATGCGAGTTCTCCGGATTTGAACCAGGGACCTTCAGATCTTCAGTCTGACGCTCTCCCAACTGAGCTATCTCGGCATGTCTGAAAAATGAGGGGGTTACTTTTCCTTGATATAACAATATCTCAACAGAAACACAAACGATTGCTGGTTTTCTACATTTGATTAACAAAACATCATTCAGAACCGTTTATTTCACACAAAATAATCACATTTGTGGACAATTTCGGCAAAGTATTTGGCTTGTTGGGCGAGGAAAAAATCGAGCTAGTGCCCAGATTCCCCAAACCGAGAATCTATAAAATATTGGGTACGAGACGGGAGACTACAGTTCTGGTGAAATCTTCCCGTGTTCCGGTTGTTTCAAAAGCGACAATTACCACTGCATCGGTTGGAGACGATCTTTTGAATAAATTTTTTTTCTTCGCTCCTTCGGAGGTGGCAAAATCGTAAGAGGTATGTATCTTGTAGCATAAAATCCCAGCTTCTCTTCACCCTAATAGAGCAGCATCTGTCATTTAACGTTAATTTTCCCACAAATTGTTGCTCTTTATATGTTTCAACTTTATCTCACCCCGAGGGGCAACTAAAATAAAATCAACTTAACTGCTATTTTAGGAAAGCTTTGATTTAAACCGGAGCAATATACAGAAAAAAAGTACACTAATAGTTTTCAATTTGCATGCATCTGGTAGTTTTGGGAATCCATAACTCCTCAAGGTCCCAGGTAAACATTTATTTTCTCCCTACAATATCGATTCACTATTTTGAAGGCGGGTGAGGAGAATAAAGAAAATAGGCAACCAGTAATTGAAATTGATATATTTTGACCTGAGGGCCGATACGGTTAATGCATTTTGTGTTCTGGAAAATTGTTCCCTACGCACTTTTGGTAATGAATGTTTGTGTGGGTTACGCACGAGTTACGTCATAAATGACAAAGACAAGTCATCAATTTTTCTGTTCTGTACGTTGATGGATTTTTCTTGCTCAAAAGAACAATTAAGAGCTAATATTGTTTTGAAATTGAAAATGTACCCTAAAAAAATTAATACAGTTTTTAATTTTTTTTTTTTGGCTCGGTCATCTCGAAAGGTCATCTTTTTCCTTTGAATTTGAACCTTTAAATTTATCGATAACTGATTTGCTTCGCACGTCTTTATTGTTCTTTGTAACCTTACTCTAAAAGATACCCTTCAATTTATTTTTGTCGCATACGTTTAGTCAAAGTTGGAAATAGTAAACTTGAAATATCATTTTCCAACATTTTCACCCCAGCCTTCGCGGCAGAAAATTGCTCTTTCGTGGTCAATTTTTGTAATTTTCGTTAAAAGTTTGCGCCGTTCCCACGAAATCGTTAGCTCAAAAGCGGAAAAAACAAAAGCGTTTTTCTTTATCATTTCATGTCGGCTTTCACGGAAGAAAAAATATGCCATCAAACCGTTTCCGACACCGGAAAATGGGCTGGTCTGGCTGGTGGATCTAAATTATACAAGTCGCTGGAGGGTTTCACAACAAAAATGATCCGCGTTCACAGAGTAAATATTTTGCGTTTATTCAATGCCGTTTCGTTTTTTGGTTACCACACTTTAATATCGAAAGCTGGGCAGCATATTTTACGCGCACGGTTTGTTAATATTAAAGCAGTCTGGGATTATTGTTCTCGGTGGAACCAATGAAAGACGACGAGTATAATAGGACGAAATTTTTTGCGTAGGAGCACTTGAGCAGCGGAACCATTTTTGTTTTATTTACCGTATCGAGACATTAATGAGATGAAAAAAAGGAGCAGTGAAACGTTTTTAAGAGGCGACACGCTGGTCTTGTGTGTGCTTTTTCTATCGTTCTCTTGCGAGCTGAGTTCCGTCTGAGTTTGTTTGTTCAATTTACAGTGAAAAAAGAAGCGCGGCAAAGCCTACACAAGACCACCTTTGGTTTACAAGTCAATTTCTTGTCCAGGGGCGCTACAACTGGAATTTTCTCACAGAAAATTAAAACTGCGAGGACAAGCGGTTGAAGGTGCTGAATAGTGTAAACACTTGAATTCCTTCCATTTTCTTCAGTTGTTCAGTCAGGTACCAAACCTTCCCAACCGAGGAATAACATGGACACGTCTTTTACTGGAATTGGTAACAACGAAGGCATGTTTTCAAACCAGGGTGGACATTCCTTCAGCAAGCTGCCGCGTTTTGCTCGAGGGAAACAGCCTTTGGACAGCGACGACGTCTTCACTTCGGCAGAGGACGCTTCAGACTTTCTGGTGTCAGAAGGAGACGGAAGCGGCTCTGAAATGGACATTGCCGAGGATTATCCGACCGAAACACGAGCGATTATCAGAAAAGATTCGGCATTCTGTGTTCCCTTGATTCGCGTGGAAGATTGGAGTTTCTCAGAGAGCGATATGGAAGACGGATTTGAAGACGCCTTACCTCCGTTTAGTTTTGTTGGAACAAGGGAAAAGGTAATATTTTTTTTCTGCATTCATCTACCGAGCGGTTTAAAGTTTTTTTTCTAATAATCTTTTTTTTTTATTGATTCGTGTTTCTTTTCGGTGAAAGTTAAAAATTATTCAGTCTTCCGCAGAAAGACATAAACATTACTTTTGATGACGTCAATGGTGGAACCTTTGTTTTGAAAAGTGAATGAGAATATTTAAAATAAATGCGACTCTTTTTGAAATAGCACAAACCAAACCAACAACGCTTTTAGACCGATTTTAAACTTAACACAAAACCGCAGTTAACTTGACCATTAAGTCATTAAGTTACACTCTTGAAATCTGCACAAAGGTATAAATTTCCTAACAAAATTTCATCGGCTGACGTCACGAAATGGAGATATTATTTAACTAAACTTATGTGTAAATGCAAGGAGAGTACCCGAGGGATTATAGGCCAATTTAAAGATTTGTTGTCGTTTGTATCGAAACATTTATCCGTTCGTCTCGATTTCATTTATTCCGAAAAGGCGACGACAATTTTTTTTGTTTCAGGTTTGTTTCCCAGGATTTACAACAGCGAAATTGGCAACAAAATCCCGCAACAGTAATAGGATATGAAAAATCGGAACCGGACTGTACATGTTTGTTTGTCGGTAAAGCTTTGAAAACGTCTTCAATTTGGACACTATTAGAAGCTGAGATCAGTTCACGCTGTTTTTGTTTATCTTACGCATTTTTTAAATTGAAAAGAGGATTTGGAAATTTTGAGATAAAAATAAAAAATCTGCGGGCCTTCTTCAGGGTAAAGAGAGTTAATTAGTTATAACGTGGCTTATGTGAAAGACAAATTTTATCCAACATAATTATTCGAAAAGAAAACTGAGCTGTATTAATTTATTTAGTTGTCTAAGTACTTCAGGGACACTACAATAAACTTTTTAAGGGCTACGTGATCATAAAGAAACCAGAGGAAGTAAGCGAAACACCGCACAACTCAAACATCTCCAAATGTGTCCTGATTACGAAGTTGAGAAGAAAGCAATTATAGTAAAATTTATATTCATGCTAAGCGAAAACAAATTGGAGAGCCCAGTGTCTCATTGGAAAGTTTTGGGAAGTAGGATTTCCGGTAATAAAACCTAAATTTAGGCAACATACAAGTGGATTTCTGAGTGTGTAAACTAAGAATCAGTTTTCACTAAAAGCCTGACTTTCACAGAATAAACAAACCAATATGACAGGGTTTTTTTTTTTCAGAAGAAAAATACAAAAATAATGCTTCATAAGGGATGACAATTTCGGGAGAAAACGTTTGCTAAAGAAAACTTTGAGTACAGCCTCTCATTTTAAAAAAAACGAAAGCAAATTAACTAGAACAAAATAAGGTGTTCTTTGTTTTACTCAAGTTTCAAGCTCGAACGAATGTTTGGACAACGTGTGCAAAAAGAGCCGCTTTGCAATAAATATATCCCAAAATATCTAGATCGTTAAAACCATCAATATATAAAAGATAAAAATAGCCTGTTTTAACCCTAAAACACTATTTTTCAAAAATTGTTTAAAACTAAAATCAAAACATCGGAAATTGTGTTTCTGACGATGAATTCTAAATTCAGTACTATGTAATGTAGGTTTTATTTCAGGGAAGAAATGTTTTACCATGCAGGCATTAATGGTTTGCGTTAAAAAGTATTCGGAGAGCCTTCTTCCTTCTTCAAGGCTTAAGGTAATGTGGCGCATCAAATAGGGACAAAAACTCTATTTCTTTTGGCTGTCGAAGCATTCAATGAAAGTCTGATTTTTCTGCGAGTTAATGACTTGAAAAAATAAAGACTAACCGTTAGATGTGTAGGAGGAACATTAGTCCATTAAACGTATCTAAAAATATCCTTTATTGCCAAGTACAAAAGATCAGAGCAAGGTCAATAGAAGGTGTATAAAATAGCCTTATTCAAAAAAATCATCATTTTTCTTAAGCAAAACAAGTTAAAAACTATTTTAGTAGACCAGATTTCCGTGGAGATCTATCTTAAGTAATGGACTCCGATTTCTGAAAACGTGTAATAGAGTTGATTTGCACAAAATGCATGATTTTAACTCAACACTTGAATTCCAAATCCTGGCACAACAATACTTAAGGCAATATATTGTTTTTATTTTAATTTGTACCACTTTCCCTTTGTTTAATGCCATTATTTTTCCTGTTTATTTTACAGAGCGCCACAGAGACTTGCAAGAGTCGAAATAGATCTCGCTCCATTTAAATCAGAAGATCAACAACATAAATCACAAGAAGTGTGTTAATATGAATAGCAGCCAAGACAGATTTCAACACAAAGTGAATTTAATATGAAATTAACATAGTCTACTTGGTAATATTTACAATAATCATAATAATACGTTTCACTAGTCTAGTTAGTTCGACCTCGCTAAGACGGGAACGTGGGAGGGGTGTAAATATAGGTGGACCGTTGAATTCCTTTTATCAACATCCTTTTAACGGCAGAAGAGGTAGAATTATTGTTAAACATAGAACTTTAATCCATTTTGGATTTAAAAGAGGCACTATCATGTGGATCTTGCTACCTTTTTGGTCACGATTGTGTTAAAATTGTATCGGAGCAAATCAGCTAGTAGTAACTAGCTTGACCACAAAATCGCATAGAATATACCAAGGTGTAGATAGAGTATGAATTGTCGATAAGAATTTTTAGTGATTTGTCCAGATTTGAAAAGGTCTGCCTAGCTTTTTCAATTTGAAAATCAAAATCTTGAGCAAGTGTATGATAACATCCCTTAAATAGCTTCAGCTGGGTATCTTTTGATGAAAAAAAGAAAGACCCTGGGAACGGATTTGTAACGAAACCAGACCATTGACCTTTGACCTTTCGAGATCATACTCATGGTAGTGGTCCTACAGGCAGAAGTCAGTCTCTTGACCGCCAAAGGCTTAAAGCACCTAACCGATGAAAATTGGCCCTCGCCAGAAGTAGTATTCAGTGTTTGAGGTATAGTTTCAATATGACAAAAACAAAACCTCAGGGATTAGGTTACACCTAAAACCGTAGCTGTTCGAAAAGTTTTTGTTGAAGTCCATCGGATGGTCTTCTTTTATTGAATTAAAGGAGTTGCGTTACGAAAGGTTTGCGCGTCTCGAAAAGTTTAGCCTAAATCTTTCAAGTTCGTCGTTTGTCAAGTCAAGTCAAGTCAAGTTTATTGTGTATGTACACTTAGCTTTCATGAGGACAATCCGTGTTAATCTTCTCCATCCTTAACTATCCTTGTTTCATTATGGTTTATTATTGCTGTTATCTTAGTAAACTACTATTTTCAGATTTCCTTCAATTTAAAGGTGCTTTTGTTCGTGGCCAAAATAACTCAAAATACCGTGACTGAGTTCCTTTAAGTATACAGAAGACATAATGTTCCACCAGGGAAAGATTTCAACTGAAAGATAGATAAAGATAGATCGTAGAGAAAAGATTTGACTTCAATTCTAGTGTGATCACGATGAAACGGCCGGTTTTATAAGCCGGGTAGTTGAAATATGTCATACATCGCGTTATTGTAAATAAACTGAACAAACTACGCACCTTCATTTTAAAACAAAACTGTAAAAAACATCCTTAAAAAACTCAATGAACAAATTAGAATAGAGTATTATATAAGATCACATACTTTTGGTGTTACTTTACGGAAATGTTTAATTAACTTGTTGGGAAATAATAAAATAAGCGGGCAAGTTGTCACTGTTTCCATGTTTCCGTGGAAATTAAACGAAAGCCAAGTTAAAAAACGTTTCGCAGACATAAACTGGGGGAGTTATTACTTTTACGTGCGTATCGTATATGTAACCAATACTGTCTCATCAGTCAGTAAATAACAATGATATTTTATGATGACATGTTGTTTACGGTGGCTCCATGATAACGGTTTACCCGGCAGCAATTGCGCTTTACAGGAACAATACTGCCACCTCATCATCTTGACATAACATGTTTGCATAGCGACAATAGAACCCTTCAAAGCAAAGCACTCACAACTAAAAAACTAAAAAAAAGCGTGCTCGTTGACCCTCATTTTTAATCATTATTGAATAATCGTATTTTATTGTGGAATAATTATCAAGTGAATGAACGTTTGGTAGAGTTTGAAAAAACGTCTCCGTAAGGGGCTCAGAGCCACCTTACAATCCACTCTGGTAATAGTATTTATTACAATTTAATGACTACTGCAAAGAATAAAAATAAGCCATATGGACGATCAGTAAAGGAGTCAAAACCCCATACAAATACAGACCACCAAAAGAGGTAATAAATAGATAAATAAATAGATAAATAAATGATAATAATAAAAATAAAATGAAATAAAATCCCCTCACCCCCTTACATTAACTGATGACATAAATAATTTTCTAGCTTGTGCCTTAAAAGCTCTTAGATCGTATCCACAGCGAGTGTCCAATTCCATTTATCTACAATAGACCTTTTTCGCTTGGGAGGTTTGTTTTTCCCATTACAGACTTCGTGATATTCTCTAGAGAATTGTTCTATTATCCATCTAAAAAATATTTATTCATATGCACACGACTATTTGAAAATTTGAAAGGAAGAAAGGAAGAATTCTCATCACATGGTCTGAAATGGGGCAACAAACCGCCCAGTCGAAAAAGGTCTATTCTATGAAAAATTGGAAATTTTAGCACAGCTCTAACATATTTCTTTTTCAGAGTCCAATTATGACTATGCCTGAGAGAAGCATCTACCTTCTACTTCGTTAACTCTTCTCACCTCTTCTTGGTTAGGTCAGTTACATAATTGCTGATACCAGAGCCTGCTTACTCCTCAGCAAGTTGAACTCCATTGGCATAAATTACTATCTATGATCTACATGGTTTGGTTTTCGCAACAACAAGAAAGTTCACTTGTCGAATGCAGTTTAAGTTTCCCATAGCACCATAATGTATACAAGGCGTCAAATGAAAGCTCAGTGTGAAATTTAACTACTTTGTCCCATTTCTTACATCTTAACACGTAAAAGTAGCCCCTTCAAAGGTAAATCGGTTTTTGTTGCCTCAGAAAAACTCTGTTTGCTTTTTGCAACCTCGACGCACTACATTTTCTTAATTCAAGCCGGATTGGATCCTTAAATTATTAATTGTAGAGACATTGTAAATAGGGCTGGATTAAGACGGGCTTACTTTCATTTCACTTCTCTGTTAGGAAACTTTATTTGCATAACACTTGAGTACCGCATTTGACTTCGAAAAGACTCGGTGTTAATTAAATTTCGGCTTTTGTTGTCTGAGTATGCAGTTAATGAGCCACGCTACGACTAATCATGTTGCTTTTGAAAGTACCCTGCAATGAAAGGAACATAAAGGACTTCCTAGCCGCAGAATACTTCAACTTGTCACATATGTTGCTGGGAGTTGTAATATCCCGCTGGCATTAGACTTTTGCAAACCTTACACTTTGAGGAAATCGAACGGAGACATTTTAGAGTGTTGAGTTTGGTCGACTTCTGCTACTCAGGTTTGTTTACATTATATAAGCTGTAACTGCTTGTGAAGTTTCTCAGAACCGGAGCTGATACACTCGTAGGAACTGAACTTTTTTATTCGTTACTTATTCATTAAAAGTGGCACATGGTTTCAAAAGACAAATCATTGCTTTTAGGATAAAACTCGTGTCATTACAAATGACGCTGGCTCTCAGTCGTGTCTTTATAAGCTATCATAGTCACTATGTAGGTTTTCCCATTAAATCATGCCCTTTGCACACATTAAACAACAAATAATTCAGTTACCTTTTCAAATATTCTTACTAAAGCAAGAGTAGTTTTTGTACGGACGCTTCCATTGAGTCAACAAAATCTTCAAGTTATCTAAATGAAAATAACTTTTGCTTGTAGCTCACCCAGCAATGTCAATTTTCTTTCAGGCAGGTTTGAATGTCTCAAGAAATTACTGCTCTACAACATACGAGGAAGGATAAAAAAAATTGCGGCGACAGAGTCCAGCCTCTGATGAAATTAGTCAAGTGTAATGCTTAGTGTTGACTAAAGGCAAGATGTTAAAGCGAGTGAAAAGACGAATGAGCAAACAACATGTAAGTATGTTATCGTCGGTGTATTGTGCATGATAATAAACACTAATGAGGCGACAAACTAGCTGGGTGAAAATTGATTAGTGCTTGGCAATTACTTTAAAAATAGAATTCTTTGTCAGACTACTCTTTTTTCTCAGAATATTACCAATCGATAGCCCAGAATGAGATACAACCGATTACTAAATTCACTTCCTGTCTTATTCCTAAAGTTCTTGTTGTTGTATATAATTTGTAATTATAAGCCACAATATGTCAATATTATAATAACAACAAAAACAACCCTAAGAATCAAAACCCTACGGTTGGCTTCTGACAGACCTTTGGAAGAATTTGGAGACTAATTTGTTCAGTATTTTGACCTACATTGTATTGGTGACCATCAAAGTGAATGTGTGCTACAAATCAAAAGAAACTGGAAACGGTAAAATATTAAAGCAGGGCGAGGTATACGTCGTCTTCCAAACCAGCCCAAACTGATCATAATTTCCTCTTCATGTACTCGATAAACAATCACGAAAAATTATCCCTCCCTCATTGTGTTTAGAACTAGTGCTGAAGAAAGGGTCAACTTATTAGAGAGCTCATTTTCTGCGGGTAACATTGAAATCTAAACCATTAATTTCCTGGAAATTGAAAATTTAAATTTTCAGTCAAACATAAGAGGAATTCGTTTGTTAAACTTTATTCACTGTATACTGTAGACAAGAC